TTTTTTTTTTTTTTTGTCTTTTTTCCGTGTCCGGCAACGGATCGCAACCCTCAGTGTTGCCCCCGTACCGGACCGGGGACCGGCAACGGGATCGCAACCCTCGGTGCTGCTCCCGCGCCTCGCTCAGCCAGTGAGCGGGAACCGGTCCGTATGCGGGATCCGAACCCTCGGCGGGAGCGCCCCCGGGCTCCCAAGTGGCGCACTGGATAGTGCGCCGCTTGGGAAGCGTGGCGGCGCTCCCGCCCGAGGGTTCGGATCCCGCATACGGACCGGTTCCCGCTCACTGGCTGAGTGAGGCACGAGGGCAACGCCGAGGGTTGCGATCCCGTTGCCGGTCCCCGGTCCGGTACGGGGGCAACACTGAGGGTTGCGATCCGTTGCCGGACACGGAAAAAAGACAAAAAAAAAAAAAAATGCATTCTTATATTTGAGTGATCAGTAAGTCACAATAATTTGACCATTTACTTAAACAGTATTCATTTCTGTAAATACATTACTATAATTGTCACAGCCTGGGGAGTTTCAGAAATTAGGTTTGTTCAAGAAGTGGAAACTTCATTTAACTTCTGAGCAGAATCCTTGCTTGTTGGAAATACAACGTATCTTAAGCATGAATGGAATATTCTTTGAAAGATCCCAAAGTTGTAATTTATTATTGCAAGATATAGATTCTGTAAATTTATTCTTTCCTTTATGTGTATTTTGTTTGCAAAACCTGGTTATGTTCCTTTTCCCTCTTAGTTCCCTTTACTACTCCCACTCCCAAACATATCACGTTAATTTTTTTTTCAGATAAATACAAAATTTTGGTTGATGTCCCCAAAGTATGTGTTATTAACATTATTTGAGATGAAATAAGAAGGCTGAGGATCATGGGACATGGTAGGTGCACAAAATACTTGTTGAATTACTTGGTAAGTTTCAGTTGTTCAACAAATATTTTTGGAGAATCTACTTCCAGACATTGTGATAAGCAGATAGATAGGAAATACAAAGGTGAATAAGGGATGGCCTCATCTCTCCAATAGCTCAGGATCTAGTGGAAATGCATGTACATCTGATTAAAAGTCTGATGATTTAGGGCAGTTTTTTCAATTATACATAATGAACCACAGTGAGACTTTCGTTACACGCACACGTGTAATACAGAGTGTATTCGAAAAGAGTTTGAAAAACATTGAATTTTTGAGGCTCTGAAAAAAGCAGGAAAAAGGGTCTTCTGATTTTTTCAAAGTAAAAATACTTGTAAATAAACTTTGTTCAGGTTAAATCATTTTGCCAATGTGTAAGTTCTTATTTAAACTATATGACATCAGATGGGAAGGTTTAGTTTTTTAAAAGAACATATATTTGA